AGGGAAGCAGAGCAGAGGGTACTGCATATTCATTCATGTGCCCCTCTTCCCCTTCAATGCAGTGGCTTGCTGGGCTGCTCTGTCCCCGGAGGATGATGTGCTGGGAAGCTCTCTGTGCAGGTTGGGGTAGGCTCAGGAGAGAGGGTGGCACAGCTGTGGCTGAAGGTGACAGGCATGTAATGACTGGAGGATGTGCAGTGTCCATCAGAGCTGGGGTGGGTGCTGGAGCTCAGCAGTGACTGAGTGACCAGGACAAAACTTCCAGCTCACTCACAAGCGTGGGCTGCAGGAGAGGGAGTTCCCTGGGCTGTGCTGTGTGAACAAGCCAGTTCTGTCCTGGCAGAGCACAGCTTGTCAGCCAGAGCTGACCAGTGAGGGGAGTCCCAGCGCCAGCCCTGACACTAATGTTGAGTGAGTCACATCTCGAGTGGTCACTGGATGTGAGTTGCCCCAGGGAGATACTTTGCAGAGGCACAAGGGCAGCTACAGCTACTACTTAACCCTCTGCAGCCTGAATCTCTATGTGCTGTTTCTTGTGCTACTGGTGCAATTAGTGTATTAGTGAATGTGGCCCTTTCTGTGGTGGAGTGCAGGGAGTGAGGGAAAGCAACACAAGCAAAGGAAAGCAGATGTCTCAAAGGGAGAGGGAGGGTGGGATTCAGGTAGTCTAAATATCTGCAGAGGGGAAATGTCTTGCATCACAGTCATGAGGGACAAAGAAACTGTGGAGTCAGGTAAATATGAAAGGCAAAGTAAGGAGGAGAGGTGATGATGGGCACAGGAAGCATAAGAAAGGAGGGCAGCTCTGAAGATGGGCTGAAAAGGACTGGAGATCTGTGAGCAGGGAATTTTGCTGTTCTGTCATCCCAATGATGTCTGCAGCAGCAGCAAAAATTCTTTACAAAGCAAGTATGCAAGGATAGAATAAAAGTGTTGTTACTTTTGCCCTGGGGAGGAAAAGAGAAGGGTGAATATAAGATTACCTGCCTGCTTTGGGGAGCCTAGAAAGCTGGGAGAGAGCCTTTAGAAATGGGAAGGTCTCTTGGCAGATTGTTTATGAAGCTTCCCAGCATTTGCCTCCAGAAACAGAAAAACAGATGGAAAGAGACCCAGCAGGGAAGTGAAATCTCATTTATCTGCACAATGCCATCCTCCTGGCTCCAGCCAGCTCTCTGCATGTCAGCTTCCATAGAGCCTACCCTGTCCATTCTGCTCCAGGCCTTCCCAAGCCCATCCATCACCCTATGGCTTCTTATTTACAGGGAGCCTGGCACACCAAGCTGGGTTTATTGTCTGTCATCCCTGCCACACAGGCACATACACACAACACCCGTGTAGATGCACATACACTTTGTCTATTGCTGCAGCTTGGGATTGTCTGGAGTCCAGGAAATCTTTCCACACGTCTGCCAAAGCTTATCAGAGCCAAAAAGAAATCTGGCCCAGCATACATGCTTGGGTCTAGCTTGGTTCATCCCTTGAGCATACAAACTGCATCATTTGCAGTGTGAGGTGACAAAGGATCTTGACAGCCTCTTGGTTCAAGAGTTTTGTTCCTCTTGGCTATGACACAAAGAACATATGTGAGGAGTTAAAGCTATGACTGTCAGGTATCATGTTTGAAGTGAGATTTGTGAGTAAATGGAGACGAGCTGATGTTCCTGCTTTGTTAAATACAACACAGATGCAGCAGGGGCAGTTTCAGAGCCTATTTCAGAGCCAAGGTGACATAATTGTATTTATAGGAGGAAAGCATGCTTGAGTTTCTGTGTACCTACTCACTCCATGGCTGCCTTGCAGGAAAATGAGCTGAGAGAGAGCAACAGCAATTGTATCAGTGAGAGAGAGACTTCCCACAGGGAAAGTCACTAAGATGCAAAAATCCCCTTAATTTCCCTTACAGGATTGTAAGCATCCACTGCTAGCCCAAAACAGAAACAGTGGTGGAGAGACAGCACTGCAAGTCACTCCTCAGCTCTGAGCCTGCACCCTGGGCAGCTCTAAGGCCTTATCTTTGCTGTGCATGTGTTCTTGTTAGGGGGTAGATTTGCTACCTCAGGTGGCTCATAATCCTGGGCAGCTATAAAGGAAGTGCAGGCATGGGATGGAGCAAGGAGGATGTAGGTCTGATGTTGTGAAGAACTACAGGGGCAGCATAACCTGGCAAGTACTCCAGCTATTTCCTTATATATTTTCCTTATATATTTGTGTATGAAATTTAGAAGAGGACAAATTCTGGGCTTGCTGTAACATGTGTGTTTGTTTCTAGCAATTTAGGAAAGGTTTCTCCTTACAAGGTCAGACTTCTTTCTGCCTGGTGTATGTCTCAGGGCAGAATTTCGCCCTTTGCAGAAAAGGTGCAGCAGCAGTGTGAGAACATTGCTGTCACCTACATTAACAAGCCCAGGGCTAGCATGGAGGTAGGAAGAAGTTTCTGAAGTTAAAGATAGATCAGGGCATGAAACCAAGTGGTTAAGAGAAAGCTGAGACTGCTCTGCCTCTAGCACAGCAGTGTCGCATCAGCCCGAGGAACCCAAACTTGTCCATGCACTGGTTTGTTTTAACAAACAGCTCAGATCTCCCCTGACAACAGTGTAATACAGGTATTTATCTGCATTATTAATGCAAGATTCCTAGTGACAGGAACACAGCATGTTAACCTGCCCACTCTGCCAGTGCACAGAAGAGGCAACCCGTGTGCTCTAGCTGCACTTCCATCCCATGCCATGCCAACAAGACAGCTGGGCAGCTCAAATAAATGTCTCCTGCACTTTGAAGCAGGCCTTCTGTTTTAGTGCCCTGCAGCATTTAGCTGCTTCCTAGCTCTTGCTGAAAACCAGAACGTGCAGCTCATGTGTCTGTCAGGTTCACCATCAAAGGGCCCACGTCTGTGAGACTGAGATTGGAGACACCCTCACGGTCTCTTTGCACTTGCTCTCTCCTCTTGGTATTTTGCCTACAGATGAAAAGGTAAGATGCTCTTTCTAGCTCTTTGAGTTGTTCTGAGTGATGCCTTAATCGAGCTGGTTTGCTCTGGTTCTTAAAGAGAAAATCCTAGGATAAAAACAAAGACCCCACGGTCTGGGGAAAAAAACAAATGACCCCATGCAGAGCCTGCGTGTTGCTTGGTTGCTATTTGTGCCATTGGTTTTGAAGCAGGACTTCAAGTGCTTTGTTAATAGATTTAGCTGTCAGTCTGCTTTTCCTTTGTTCCAGGTAGCTGCCAATAAAATACTATTTCCTAGTGTTAAGCTTTCAGCAAATGAGCTACCCAGCACCTCCTAAATCAGCCCTCAAAGTAGCAGTTTGTGGTCCTTCATGGTCAGTACACAGACCTGCTTTTTGGACACTGCATGAAGAGAAGGTCCCTGTGCTGCCTACCCCTTCCCAGGGCAGGGCTGAACTGAAAACTTGCTCCCAGGCTCTGAGCAACAACAGAGAGGGATCTTGGAAAGGCAGAATTGGCTGGTGAATGTGTGAGCAGCTTTTTCCAGTTAACAGGGTGAAGACAACTCCCTCTAAACTCCCTCAATGCTCTGTGAGGCTGGGGATGCTCTGAAGGCAGAGGTTTCACTGGCTCAAAACACTCCACATCTGTCTCAAAGGTTGAAAGAAAATAGGAAAGGAAGAGCCCAGGCTATTCTTAGGGTGTCTGCTGTCAACTCCACAAAAAGGCTCAAAGATTGGTCTCCAAGGATGTTTCCTGCTGCCCTTCAGAGGTAACAATAGCTGGTTAAAGCAGCAAAGCACCTGGAGGAGGGAGTACAAGCCGTTGTAATTGAGCAGCAAAGTGGTTCACCTGGTGAACAGATGGAAATCAGGTGCAGAAAAGCCAGGGAGGAGGTTGAGTGAAGAGCTGTGGCTGTCTCTGTGACAGTATTTCTCAGAGGTGAGCACAGCCTGGTTTTCTGGCAGCCAGTGTCACAGGGAACTGTGGCTTTGGGCAGCATGAAGGCATGCTCAGAGTGAGAGGGCCAGTCTGAGAAAGCTGCCCCAAAGTGAAAGGCTGCACTGGAAATGCTGAAAATACCTTTCCCCTTTTCTGTGGGAAAGGACAGGGAAGAATGACTTAATGATTTATTAAGACAATGCTCTTTGTGCAATGTCCCACACACAGGGACCCTCAAAAATCTGACAGTGAAGCAGAATGGATGAGATGCAGCCACAGTGTTGAGAGACTCAGTCTTGGTGTTCTTTGGACTTAAATTACCCTCCCAGTGACAGCCTTGCCTGCTGGGGTGAGGTGAAGTGACCTGTGCAGGGTCAAGCATGGAAAGTGGAACAAGCTAGAGAAGCCTCAGCCTGCCTTCCTGCCTTGATCTTCAGACCAGCATCCCCTGCCCTGCTGACAGCAGATTTATCTCTCTGCTATGCCACGAGATATCAGCACAAAATTGCCAGTGCTTTTTCTTCCCTTGACCAATTTCAGCCACCCTGAAGCAGTGTGTGAACACGTGTGAATGTCTCTGGCTTGAGCTGCTCAGGACTGTTGCTGGTCCTGCGGGGCCACCATCTGCCCCCAGATCTGTTCATCTTGACATCTTCATTGCAAGGAAACCAGCTGTGAAGAGAGGCCAGTGCCAACCAGGCCCAGGATGCCAACCTGGCAGCAAAGAGCCCTTGGCCGGGCAGCTGATGCCGTGCTGGGCTCAGGAGCTGTGGCCAGCAGGAGCCAGCTCACCCAGCCCCTCAGATGGTGGGCTGTGAATGGGAGGGTAGGGGGGCTAGTGAGGAATCAAAGGGAGATGTCCTACTGATTGATGGCCTCATTTGCACATGAAACTGGGACCTCTCAGCCCTGCAGGCCCTGCACGTGTGTCTCAGCTGCTGTTAGCAGGGCTGGCAGAAAAGGAGGATCACTCACTTTCAGCTCTGGACAACATAGTGGTTTTCATCTAAATGTCTTAAGTCTGAATCTTGAGGGATTTTAGAGTTCCTAAATGTTGGGTGCTTATTTTTGCCTCTGTTTTAATTGCAGGTGAGGCAGAGCACCCAGGACTATGGCAACTCCTTCCACCTTCTCCTCTCCTTTCTTTCTCCTGTGCGTGTTGGTTCTGTCTGACATCAGTCTTGCAGTCTCCCTGAACCCTAGCACAAAGCTCAAAAATGTCCCAGAGAACAACAACCACCTTCAAAATCAAGAGGTGTGGCTACAGCAGCCCAAAAGTGGGCACCACCACAAGCATGGCTTGGCCAAGAAGGAGAGGGTCCATGCCATGCCTTCGAGAGCACGTCTGGCCGGGGAAGAGGCTCTCAGGATGGGCAGTGGAGCTTCAGCTGTGGATGAGCTGGTGGCAGAGGGACAGCCAGCAGCCCTAAAACAGAATAAGGATGCGTTCCTGGGGTTTGAGTTCCCATACCCCGAGAGGGAGAACCAGTCCCCAGGCTCTGAGAGAGTGAAGAAGCAGAATCGAGAGCATCGGCGCCACAGCCGCCGGGACAGGCTGAAACACCACCGAGGTATGTGAGCTCCAAGGGAAGCTGAGGGTGTTGGGGTGTTGGAAATGAGTGTCACTTGTGTGAGGGTGAGAAGATGCAGCTGTGGTTGAGCCACAAGGGTGTGTGTGGAGGGTGTGGGGTGTGTGACTGCTCTGGGGAGAAATCTGCCAAACAAAAGAGGCACAAGAAAAAAGGGCAACTCCAGAACCAGAGGATTTCAGTGCTGGCTGTAGTTTTGTGCAAATGACCTAGTTTGCCTTACAGGGGGAGCTGTGAGAGCCCCTAGGACTTGAGGGGTTCTTTTGGGGTGGCCTGCTTTGTTTTATAATTTCTCTTTTTTAGCAAATGGTTCCACTTATGAACAAACGCATCCGAGCCATACTCCATCTCTCCACTGACTTTGAAACATGACCAGAACTAGCAATAATACAACCCCCTATTTCTCTTGAAGACCAGTTTCTTCTCACCAGAACTTGTATTCTTCAGTGTTTAAGGGGTTCTTTTGGGGTGGCCTGCTTTGTTTTATAATTTCTCTTTTTTAGCAAATGGTTCCACTTATGAACAAACGCATCCGAGCCATACTCCATCTCTCCACTGACTTTGAAACATGACCAGAACTAGCAATAATACAACCCCCTATTTCTCTTGAAGACCAGTTTCTTCTCACCAGAACTTGTATTCTTCAGTGTTTATGCTGAACTACAAAAAAAAAAAAAAAAAAAAAAAAAAAAAAAAAAAAAAAAAAAAAAAAAAAAAAAAAAAAAAAAAAAAAAAAAAAAAAAAAAAAAAAAAAAAAAAAAAAAAAAAAAAAAAAAAAAAAAAAAAAAAAAATCTAAGTTTTGCCTATGTGAAATGGCACTAATAGCTTTAAAATGATGCTTGTTTTTGACTGGCATTGCTTCCCTTTGCAGGTCAAGTTATGGGTGTGTGTCTCTGCTCAGTGTGGTAAATCTTGAGCTCTGTAAGAGCCAGGCAGTTTGTGTCAGGATACACTATTTGACAAGCTGAGAGTCACATCCCTGAGCTCCAGTTATCACTCCTCCCTGCCTCAGTGAGAAGAGCTCCATTGTTTTTTCAGGGGACTCACTAAACCACTCATGTTAAGCAATACAGAAGAGCATGCAACCAAGATGGGTTGAAGCAATATTTGCAGATGACTTGGGTTAACTTAAGGTCTATACTTAAATTAATACATAGGGAAAACAGGGATCAGGCTGAGAATATAAGTCTTATTGCAAGTTAGGTAGGTCCTGACTTAAGCTAAGTTGAAATAACTCACTACTAAAATCAAATGTGTTCACAGATATTTGCAGCAGCTTAATCCATTGGTTTGAAAATGTTTAAACAGGTACATTTCATACTCTTGAGACCAGAATAAGAAATCCTTTGCTGCTGAAGCAAGAGATAGACATATCTTCAAGAAGGTTTGATTATATATATGCCTTAAGTGTATAAAAATCAAGCTGTATATACCCTGGCCCTGATTTATCACTTTAACAGCTCATTACTCTGCTTCACACTGGCCTAAACAGCAGCTCAGGGTGGTGGAATTCTGGGCAGTGGCTGGATGAAATCTGAGTTCCTTTGACTCAAATCTATGGCACACAGAGAAATAGGGATGAGAAAGCTAATGCTGCTGTACCTGTTGCCTTCTGCAGGGAAGACTCCTGATGCTGGGCCAAGCTCCCTGTACAAGAAACCTGAAAGCTTTGAAGAACAGTTTCAGAACCTCCAGGCAGAGGAAGCCACAAGTCTGACCCCCACCACGCTCATCATCACTGCACTGGACCTAGCTGTTTCCACAGAGGAGCCTCCTGTTCTTCCAGCCACCTCGCCACGGTCACAGGTAGGGAGAGAGCTGGGAACTGCACTCTACCTCTGAGCCCTCCCTCTCCCTCAGCTATCCATCTTCACTGAGCTTCATGGACCAGAGAGGCAGCAGGAGCCCTTAGCTGGACAGCCAGCATGTCCTAATGTTCCTTGCTCACCTTTTGTCCTCACATAAAAGCACTGGAAACTTCCCTCTCGGCTTCAGCTGCAACAAGGGAAAGCTCTTCCCTTTGGAAAATGAGATGCTAAGAATCCCCAGTGGATAGGACAATGGTGGAGTTGGAGGAGAGGGGGAATCATAAAGCCTTTTAAATACCTAAAAGTACCATAAAAATTTGTGAAGGCTTCTCTACAGAAGTGTAACCCATTGTCTGTCTGGTTTCTCCTGGTTTGCAGGCTCGCCTCAGGCAAGATGGGGATGTGATGCCCACCCTAGATATGGCACTCTTTGACTGGACAGATTATGAGGATCTCAAACCAGAAATGTGGCCGTCTGCTAAAAAGAAAGGTGCTAAACCTCTTTGTCCTCTTTCCCAAAAGTCATCCTGTAAGGCTTGTCCACAGTGTTCACAGATCTGCTGAAGGACATGAGATCACAGCAGTGGGGAAAGAGAGAAGCAGCATAATGCTGATTGTGTTTTGTGCTCACTTTCAGAATGTTTCTCATTTCGGATGCATAGATTGAGGGCAGAGGAAAAAGGATAGATGGAAGGTTGAGAAATAGGAAGGACATTTGACTATGAAAGTTTAGAGTTCAAATTTTTGAAGTTTGAGGCTGATTTTACCCTGGAACAATATAGTCTTCAAAATGAAGACATGAGTATGAAACTTCCTATCAACATCTGTTTTATTTCCACAGAAAAACGTCGCAGTAAGAGCCCCAGTGGTGGAAATGAGACTGTGACAGCTGAAGAAGAGCCATGTGATCACCACCTTGACTGCCTCCCAGGTCAGGATCAGCTTGGTGGAGTCATTTCACCAAACATGAGATTGTTTGCAACCCAGCCCAGGTTCTAACACATATCCCCTGATTTCTACTAGTGATGGGAAGGGCAGAACCTCTCTAAGTGTGTTGTGGGAGCAGATATGTCTGTCTGGTGGAGCTGTGATGGGAGTCAGAGGCCCTGCAGGGGAAGGGGATGTGTGAGCTGTGCTGACCCTTGTTCCTGTGTTGCAGGTTCCTGCTGTGACTTGCGTGAACACCTCTGCAAACCACACAATCGAGGCCTTAACAACAAGTGCTATGATGACTGTATGTGCACTGAGGGTGAGTCCAGCTCTTTGCTCTCCCCCTTTGCAGTTGGCAGCATTAATGTGGAATAGTGGGTTGTATGTGAAAACAGGAGCCAAGCTCAGCTGCTCTTAGCCTTTCCTTGCCACTGACTCACTGTGTGACCGTTGAGTCATCTAGGGTATGTTGCTTTCCCTCTTGAAAATAAAAATCCTGATATCTACAAACCTAACAGAAGAAGCCACAATTTATTAACCCTTCAGTGGTGCTTTCAAGTATCACAGGCTACAAAAAAACTGCTGCTTACTTTGCATGACCTTGTGCCTAACATGGCTGTCCCGAGTTAACAGAACTTGTAGCAATCTGGCAGGACGCAGACTTTTGTTTCTTAAAGTTATTCTGAAGAACCCACAGCAGCCCTCACTAGACAGGTACATTATGAAGATGTTGAATGGCACTTTTCTGTCTGAACATGTTCAGGATGAGCTCCAGGCACTGGGTCTTGTCTGACAGAACAAAACTCTGGTTGCCAAGTTTTGTGGCCTATGTTAGTTACACAGTGATTTGACCAGGTCATTTAGATTTTTTTTACCCAGCTAAACAGACAACTTTCCTGGAGTTGCAATGTTAAATGATAGTTTTCACCTTGGCTGTGTTGTGTAACACCTGAAGGTCCTCATCAAACACAACCTTCTGGTAGATTAGCCTGGAAAACTGTTTGTACAAGCCTAATGAGGGCAGCCCCAGGCCCTGCTTTATCCTTAAGCTAGTTATAAGTTGATGCCAAATGTGCATCTTCTGTAGCATTAAAAAGATCCCCAGAGAGGGAAGATCCAGATAAGATAGACAAGAGGCTCAGATAAGAGCAGAGCTCTGATCTTGTGTGCTCTCCTTCTGGGAGGCCACACTGCCCTGGGGGAATTGGTAATGAGGGGCACAAACCCAACTTTAAGGTAGCTGGTCTCAGCATAGCCCAGGGACATGCACTCCAAAAGGTTGCTCAGTGACCTGTGACATTGTCTGGGTCTCCAGTGTACAACCAAGGACAGTTTGGGGCTGTCTCATTATAAAAGCTATAAATCCTCAGCCTCCCCTGCTCTGGAGCTGCTGGCACTGTTGCTATCTGCTGCCTGTTCTGGAAAAGAGCTGCAATTTCTAGGATGATTAAATCAGCTCCTGCCAACCCCAAGAACCAGATCCTGCCCTACTGAACATCAGGGATTCATGAGAATTATTCCCCCACTGGCTGTGCCCTGTCTAGCCCAACTAGCTATGCATTCTGGTGTAACAAAGTCACACAATAGACAAAAAAAAAAATCTATTGGTGCCAGAAACCAATGAGTTACCCTGACCAGAGTCTCCCATTGCCTTCCACTGCCATGAGAGAATAAGTACTGGTGGGTTTTACAAACAAAATGCCTTTTTTTCCCCTTAGTATTCATCAGACAGCTTCATTCAGGCCCTGCACTTTGAGCATCCAAACCAGAGAAATTGAAGGAGATGAGCAGTGAGTTTAGCATCAGACCTCCCAGTAATAACACTTCAAAGTCTCTTCCCTCCTCTCTTGAAGCTTCAAGGAAATAAATAGCAAGGGGAGGTCCCTAGCCATTGCTGCTGCACATTAAGTCTATAGTAATTTCCCAATGGAGAGATCACTTAGACAGTAATGGGAAGTAATAGGGGGGAAACCAAGCAGGGCTTCCATAAACTCACTGGAAACAATTGGAATAATTCATTGGTATTTCAAGAAGCCAGTGAAACCTGCCTGAACCAATGAATCCCAACCAGAACAGTGAGCCAAACAGAATTCCAGAGGGCCAGAAGGCAACATGCCCTGCCCATGTGAGGCATCTCTCTGCCACCTCATTTGCCACAGCCCTGGGACTGAGGCAGGAGCTAGTTGTGTGATGTTGCTGCTGCAGTGAGCCCTGGTCCCTCCTCACTTCTGCACGTCTTTCCCTTAGGGCTGCGCTGCTATGCCAAATTCCATCGGAACCGAAGAGTGACCCGGAGGAAAGGGCGTTGTGTGGAGCCTGAGTCGGTCAACGGGGAGCAGGGATCCTTCATCAATGTCTAGGAGGGTGGCACTCCTGCCTGGATGGTCAGGAGCTGGGCTCAAGCTGTTTATACCTAGCAATGGGAATTAGAGGAGAAAGTGGGGCAAATGAATGAAGCTGCAGGCTCTGAGCACGCCAGATCCCAGCTAGTTATAGAGTGGCCTCAACCTTTTCCATAGCAGGGCTGCATTCCCCCTTCCTTCACTCAGCACATTCCTGCCACTGAATTGGGTCCCCCGCTCCCAGGTAGTGAGGAATTA